GAATCAACATTTTAAACCGTCCAAACCTTAGGATTAAAATCGTGATTCCGCGATTCCAAATGCCAATCGATGAAAAATACAACAATGTATGAGTAGGAGGATGACAGAGACTACGTCGGTAGCCGGAAAGGGCGGCGACGGTTGATTAAGGTTAGGATTTGAGATTTTGGGGTTGTTTTATAATATAAGTAAAAGTTAGTATTTTTTTATAAATATCATAATATTTGTATTATTTTATTTGAAAATTTTCAAAATCACCTGGCACGTGTCCCTTAATAGGGGAAATTTACGCCGTTGACAGCTTGAACACCTAAACAGGTAACAATTATAACGTTAAGCACTTAGATGAGACGAAAATTAGTTTAGGCACCTATTTGGGAAAAACGATATAGTTTGAGCACTTATTTTGGTATTAAACCTTATGAAATTATATTAAAATAGTATATTAATATTAAATACATAAAATAATATTATTTTATTATTTTTATTTTGTAGCGAAAAGTTTAGAAATGACTTACAGAAAATCAAACCGTAAGTCATTTTACAGAAAATACAAAAGAAATTCAGTTGACCAGAAAAATGAATTATATTGACTTTATGTTTTCCATCAACCAAAGACTGAAAAATGAATAAAATGTTTTTCGAAAAACCAATTACATTAAAACAAAAAGACTCTTAATGTGAGTTGGAATTGCATCCCTACTTTGACGATTAATAAGAAAATTTTATGTCTTATCATATATCTGCTTGTCCATTAACATCATATGGTAATTTTGTATTTATGAGTTTTCTCAAAGTTCACTATGTTATTTACTATTTTAGGTTAAAAAGAATTGATCTTATGTAGTTGTCGATATCAATATTAAGAATTTCGTAGGTGTTGCTTGCATAGTTAGGTACAATTGCAATTAAGGAATATGTAGATCACATTTGTTTTATATTGAATTTGAAATTTGTATGACACTGTGCACGGTTGAATTCTATTTTAAAATATAAATGATTTTCTAAAATTAGTATTTTTATTTATAACCGTTGTACTGTTTAAAAAGGTTTCACAAAATTTTTAATTTTTTTTTGGATTTTGGTTGTGGATCGTTTCAATAATCCTAATGTGACACCTTAAACCGAATCAAATTATCCATATCGTTATGAGGGTATTACAAATGTGACGTGTGAAAAAAAAATAGTTGTTTATTGTTTATGTGTATGTTATATCGATGACAACCGGTCGAGTTAGGGTTAGATTTTTAGTTAACCTGACTTGACCTAAAATTATGTATCCTCCATAAGAACCTGATTCGAAGATTATAAACCTTTCATCCGACTCAACCCGACTAAAAAATATATATATATATCACTCGACTTCGGGCGGATTTTTTCACCCTCAATTCGAATCCGACCCGACCTCACCCTTTAAATATATGACCCAACCAAACCCATTTTTTTAATAAAAATTTAATCCTATCAACTCGGATCGGATCAGAACCGATCTGTTTCAGATTAAATTGCCGTGCCTAGTTTGTTATGTCAATGGCGTAATCTTAACAGAATCAAAGAAAGTTTCGACCCTCCAAAATTTTAGAAAATTAATATTTAGTTTTCAAAATTTTTAATTAGATATTTTCAAAAAATAAAAATAAAAAATATATTATTATTATGTTTTAAATTTTTAAATGCTTTAATTATTTTTCCTAAAATTTTTAATTTTATTATTCAGTATCAAAATTTTGAAAAATTTAATTAGACATCCATTATTTTAGAATAATTAAATTAAATCCTTTAAAATCTCTAAAAAAAATTAAATCGAATTGCTAAAATCCGTCATTGATGTCAACATGAAAGGCTTAAAATCTAACAAATTTATAACCCATGCTTTTTGGACCTCAAAATTAACTAATTTGTAAATTTTCACACTCAACTGAATATTTCGATTTCTTAAAATGGTAGATTTGGAATCAAAGATATTTTGCCCTGAAAAATCTACTCTTGATGCCATTGGAGAAATCTATATCTTCATTTTCTTATTTAAATCATTTAATGAGAGAAAAAGAAAATTATGTGTCACAATTGATTTTATACCTAATAATTTAATTTTGTTTTGTCATCAAACAAAGGTATATTCATAATAAGTAATTAATTAATTTTTATCAAAGTGTTTAAAGTATTTTTCAAAAAAAAACACATATAAAGTATATTGCCTATTTTATTTAAATATTTAAAATATATTTTACTTAATGTCACTTGTTAAATTTTAAGTAATTAATTGAAAAAGTTTTAGGTACTCATTTTGATAAAAGGAAAATATTTTAGACCTAAATAAAAATATAATATATTTTAAATATTTACTTTTTTTTAATCAATTTCGCCGAAAATGATATTCTTAGTGTTGTAATATATTGTTAACAAGGAATTTATTATATGTTCGTTTAGATGATGGGTGACATTAGTTTCTATATAATTGATAATAAGGTTAAAAAATGTATTGATAATAGGGATGATTTTTAGCGAGACCATTGTTTGCGTTTTATTTAATAAAAACCATGCAAAACATCATTTTAAAAAATGTATTGGTAAGATTACGAGAGTCGTGATTGTTAAGGTTATAAACGAGTTGAGTTGAGATTGAGAAAGTTTAAAATTGAGCTTGACTCGATTTGAAAGTTCGTGAGTTTAAAATTGTCAATTTGAACTTCAAATCAAAAATTGAAACTCGAGTTAACTCAAGCTTGAAAAAACTTCAACTCAAAACATTCTCAGGCTTGCTCGATTGAAGCTCAAACTTGAGCTCAGTTCAAACTCGAACTCAAGTTCAAACCTGAACCTTAAGTACATAAAAGTCTTGTATTATATTTTTTTTAAAAAGAGAATAACATATAATGTTGATATTATTAACATTTTAATTTAAAAAATTAAAAATTTCATATATTATTTTTTCGAGTTGTTCGCGAGCTTTTCAAGTCGAGTATCAAGTAGTTCACTTCGACTCGTTAATAACTCGAGTCGAGTTTACTCAATTCAAGTGTTGACCGAGCTTTGACTAGTCGAACTCAAATAACTCATGACATGTCTCATCACATTTACTGCGCTAATGATAATGAAATAAAAAAAATTAATTGAGAATATTAATATAAAAGGCATTGTATATCTTAATTATATTTATTTTAAATAAATTTTAGAATTATACAAATTAATTAATAATAAAATATACAATTGAATAAAAATAAATTTGAATTATTTTGGAACGTGTTTCATGAACGTGATCCCACAATGTGTAAAATAAATGCAAGAGCAACATTCACGTGTAAGAGAAGAACATGCAAGGGTGAAATAGGAATAAGGTTTCCCACCCATCTATGTTCAATGGACTCACTGGTGATTAATAAGAATATTTTCATATGCATAAGTTTGGAAACAATAAGCCCAGTTGTATTCAAAGAATCACCGAGTCTCCTTCTTCGATATTTTTTTTAATATAATCGGCGATATCAAATTCATTAATCGTTTATTCTGAATCATTTATTGTAAGAGTTAATATAAGAATGAATTTTTCAATCTAACCGTTCAATATTTTTCTAACATTGTGCAACATTGTTGCTTTAAAAGGAAATTCCTTATCAGGGCAAAAACCCAATTCAGAAAGGGTAAAATCGGCCCACTACGGTCTATGAGTTTTTATCTAGCCAAATAGAAGTTTATTTTGAGATTTACGATATTTTTTACAGTGACATGGAACTCATCACGTCGAGAAGACAAGTTTTAATAAAAAATATTTTTCAATCAAAATTTTTACCTCGATATGATAAATTTTAATAAAAAAATTATATTTTATTGGAACTCGTCACCTCGAGGTGATGAATTTGAATAAAAATTATTTTTATTAGAACTCGTCACCTTGACTTAACGAGTCCCATGAACACTACAAAAAATGATGAATATCCCAAAATAAACTTTTACTCGCCCTATTTTCCTAAATAATTTACCCATTTGCCCTATTAGACAAAAAAACCAAGGAAAAGCATTTGATTGAATGGGCTTACTATCTTATCTTAGGTTGGACTTGAACCCACTTTAGCCCAACACATCTCAAACTTTAGTTTTTGGACATTAATTATTTAATATATATCTTTGAAAAGCTTCAAATTTGATTTTTATGGATATATTTAAGGGGCGTTATTCTTAGGATGCCTATACGGTTAATTCAGTTACAGTTCGAATTGAATTAGTTAAAATTAAATTAATTATTTAATATATTTGTTCTTCGTTTTGGGCAAATTCCTGAGTTTCTGGGCAAGAGTATAAAAAATTTAGGTCATAGTTTCGAAACTCCCAGAAAGTTTTGAAACTGGGCAGAACAGAATGTTTAAAAGTATTGATACTTATATAAAGTTTCGAAACTTTTGCAGGAGTATCGATACTTTTGGGCTAGTATCGATACTTTCAGTATGTTTTGGGGAAAATGTTAGTTTTTAAGGGAATTATACTCAAGGTACCCTAACACTTCAGTAATTCCTCACATAAGACTGCAAGTGAGAACATTAATGATGTTTAATTCAAACGTAGAAAAGAGAATAAAGTAGAGTGAAATAAGACTAGCCTTGCTTGAATGCTCGGGAAAATGACCAGGACACCCGAGTTTCTTTAGAAAATATAGCAGAATCGCAAGTATAGATTCAGTCCGGATATCCTTAGAGAGTACGCAAGGCACTATAAGCTGAAGTTTGGGCGTAAGGTCCTAAACTTAAGGAGTGGGCTAGTCAAGAGTGTGGTGTCCGATGCAGATATTCTGGGGGCCACATTCTCGGTAGACTAGAGGGGTGTGTGAGCTACGAGATACAGAACCCTCAGCCGCACCATGATGTCTATCATAGTATATAGAGTGAGTATATGAGTATACTCACTAAAGAAGAACAGAATTGACCAGAAGACCAGATAACATTAGACCATATAGTAGTAGAATTGATAGCTTGACCATTTTAGTGACAAACTTTTAGTATTTTTAGTTGTTAGTGTGGCGTTGAACTAGTTAGCTCAGCCTTCGGATTGTTTTCCATGGACAGTTAGTAAGTCGAGAGTTTGAGGAGTATTAGATATATCAAGGTCCAGACCAGTGCAGATTCAGAGTATGTCTGAGTAGTTTTTGATGAGCATGTATATTTTATAAACCTTGTTGTATCAGTTGAGTCGTAAATTTTATTAAGAGTCAATCTATAATATTTTTATTGTAAATATTTATTTTGGGAGCTCCCCAATATTAAGTTTTAAATTATATTATTTCATAGATGTTTTATTTGTGGAAATGGTTGTTTTATAGTACAAGAAAAAAGGAAGGTGTTGGTTAGCCACTCCGGTGGTTCCATGTGGCATCCTACATTGGTCGATTGTGTGTCGTACTAGTATAGGATGTTACATTTAGTGGTATCAGAGCGTCAGATTTGACGTTCCTAGGGTTCACGAGTCAGTGTCAATAAAAGAGTTTTTGAGTATACATGTCCTACAGAGTTATATCGTACTTCGGTATCTGCAGTAGTAGTAATTCTTCGTTTCCTCTTAATTTCAAATTTCTAAAGATGAATGAGAGCCCAGACTGCAGTATAGAGGGTAGTGACAAGAGTAGAGCTTCTTTAGCAGGTGCTCTGGGAGATGAGATTGTCCTAGACACAGAGTTTGATGAGCCTGAAGGTGTGGGGTAGATGAGGCAAACTTCTTTAGAAATCCAACTGTTACCTTGGATTGTATAACTAGAGCCCTTCCTAGAATGCTTGTTCAGCCAGCCCATTCCTCCAGTTGTAGCATCTCAGAAAACGTTAGTAGAAAGACTTTAAAGGTACCAGACCATCGAGTTATTTGGGTCAGGGGATGATGATATCGTAGTAGCCGACCAGTGGTTAAGAGAAACCCTGAGGAATCTTCGTCAGCTGCATTTTACTCCAGAGGGTATGCTAGAGTGCGTCATTTCCTTGCTGAAAGACGATGTAATAGACTGGTGGGAGATAATGGAGATGTTGTTAGAGCATGAACAACCTACTTGGGACTGATTCTTAGAGGATTTCTATCATAAGTATGTTGGGGAGGCTTATATGGATGCGATGAGAGATCAGTTTGCTCAGTTGGTTCAAGGGAACAAATCAGTGTTTGAATATGAAGTATAATTTCTCCGGCTGAGTAGATATGCCCCAGAGTTGGTTTCCTCAGAGTATCAGCACTGTAGGAAGTTCATAGAGGGTCTCCCACTAGATATTTTTACTCATTTAGCCGCTAAACCACCAAAAGTTTTTTATTAGTTAGTTCGTCAGGCAAAGGCGGTAGAGTGAGTTGTGGGAAGGAGAGCATTAAAAGAGGGTGTCACTTCATGTCAGAGTAGAGAAATGGTTGAGTCAGTAGAACTATCCCAGCCATCCAAGAGGTCAAGAGAATCTCAAGAGACTGAGATAGCCCCGAAAGACCAGTTTAGTCGACCAGTTTAGAGTGTGAGTGGAAGAGGGAGTAGTACCAGTCAGCACATGCGACCTTTGTATATCGCACTGGTAATTAATGCTGAAGGATCGTCGAGAACACCTTCTCATCTTCATTGTTCCCTTTATGGTAGAGGCACCTAGGAGCCTGTAGGATTAGGTCCAAAGGTTGTTACCGTTGCAGATCCCTGAATAATTTTCTCTAAGATTGTCCATAAGCTCAAAATGTAGCTCTAGTTTTGACCCAACAGTCAACTCATACAGTTCAGAGAGGTAGAGGATTCCAGAGAGGAGAAAGTTCTTCTGGTCAGACTAGTAGAGGTGTCGTACAACCTGGAGCCAATGGGGAGCCTAGAGTTACAGCCCGTCAGTTTGCGATTAGAGCTAGAGAAGATGATGATGTAGCTGATGAGATCTCAGGTAACCTACCTTGTTCTTTATTTTAGTAATTACCCTAGCCAAACTAGTATTCATTCTTTAGAATTAGATGTTCTAATGGTTGAGATATGTCGTAGATACCTTGTCAAAATTTTGAGGACAAAAATTCCTATTAAGAGGAGAGAGTTGTAATGCCCTGAATTTTGGGTTAGTAGTTTTGGTCAACCTGAAACCCGTCAGTAGAGCCTATTAGATTTTCCAAGCCAATTTTAGACCAATTCTTAAGAGTATTGGGCTTAGGTTGGCCCAATAGTTGTAGGAAAGTGGTGTTTTTAAAAGTAAGTAAATATGAGAATGACCTAAAGTGTAGTTTACCTGTTTTGTTAAAGCTGAAAACTTTGCCCCTCTTTTTATATAATTTCACATAACCAAATTCCCTATAATATCTCATCCAATATTATTCTTCCTCATTCCATTAGTTTCCATTTCTTATTCATTTCAAGAGACAAGTTTCAAGTATTCTAAGCTTAATTTGCTGTATCCAAGGTAAGAATGTTTTCCTCCATCCTTCAAGCTTTGTTTTAAGCTCCATTTTGTAAGTTTTAGAATTTGTTTTCAAAAATGGGTTTTATGAGTTAAGGGATCCATGAATCCAAGCTTGGTTATAGTGTATTTAAGTTATGTTGAAAACATTTTGATATTTCGATATAACAAATTAAGTTAAATGAATTTTAAGATTTTCCAAATGATTTTCTAAGTATATTCGATAGAATTATTCGATATCAAAACATTACTCCAAATCTTTCAAAGATCATTTTTAATCCTTACTCAAAGTGTAAAATTAAGTTTTAATCTTAAAACAATTTCAAAATAATTTTACAAAGTATTTCGAACCATTTCAAAGCCAAAAATTCCAGATTGCTCAGAGGAAACCGATTCCCCTCAAGGGGGTACCGATTCCCCCTTGAATGGTTTGGCTCCGAGAATTCCAGTATGCTCGGAGGGAACCGATTCCCCCCCAGGGGGTACCGATTCCCCCCTTGTATAACGGTCGAAATATTTGAATTTTACACTTAGAGAACCGATTCCCCATAGGGGGTACCGATTCCCCCCACGCTCCAAACTGTTTTATTAATTGTTTTCACACTAAAACGGCTATATTATTTTCTCTAATCATCCCCAACGTTCAGAAGTGATTCAAGGTGTATTTAAGCAAGCTTAGAAGCCATTGATCAACAACAAGAAACATCAAGCAATTAGAATCAAGAGAGAATTAAAGAGAAAGCATCAAATCTCAAGTTTGAGCATTTCAAGCCTATTTTTCATTCAATATTCATTTTGCTTTCAAGAACACTTATTGTGCTCAATTGTATTTATTCTTGAGTGTTCTTTCTTTGTTCTAGAATTGTGCAAACATATTTGCCTTGTGAGGTTTTTCTTGTAAGTTTGCAAATTTGTATTTCTCTTTGAGAAAAGAGTGTTCTCAAGAATTGGGGTATATTCTTGAGGGAGTTGTAAGGTTATCTCTTTGGCCTCAAAAGAAAGAACAAATTAGTGAATTTGTTGGAAAATCCTTAGTGTGGATAGCTAAGGTAGTGGACGTAGACTTTGGTTGATAAAGTCGAACCACTCTAATTCGCTGTGTAATTTCTTTCAATTTTCTGCAAAAGCTTCCACCAAAATTTTTATTGTCAATTCACCCCCTCTTGGCCGATTCAGTCAATCGATTAACTCAATAATTGGTATCAGAGCCTAACTCATTTCAAGGTTTAATCGCCTCTTGAGTCGATTCGGGAAGAGTTATATCGATAATCAAAGTCATCAATGGCCTCCGCTTCAAACTTCGAATCCGGTCTCGACTCGATGCCTGTCAACAAGCCTCTTTTCTTCAATAGAGCTAACTATGCCTATTGGAAGAATAGAATGATGTACTTCATTCAAGTAAGTGACATGGGAGCATGGAATGCTGTAGAAGAAGGATACATCAAACCTCTCATTCATCCAAGGTTGTGGAGTGAAGGAGAGACAAGAATGTTCCAGCTCAACTCCAAAGCCATCCTTATCATTTTTTGTGCTCTTGGACCAGATGAATACGGAAGAGTTTCATCGTGTACAACCGCCAAAGAAATATGGGACAAACTTCAAGTCACTCATGAAGGTACCGACGAGGTAAAGAAATCTAAAATTAGTATTCTAACGCATAGCTATGAAAATTTCAGGATGAAGCCAAATGAAGATATCAAAGCTATGACGGATAGATTTTCAACGATTGTCAATGGTCTCAAATCATATGGAGAGATCATTTCAAATAAAAAGCTTGTGAGGAAGTTAGTCTACTCCCTCCTAAAATCGTGGCAATCAAAGAAGACGACAATCATCGAGTCTAAGAACTTAACGTCCTTAACTCTTGAAGAGCTAATTGGGTCACTCCTCACTCATGAAATGATGCTCGAAGATGAGGTGGACCTCAACAAGATTGACGAGACACCAAAGGAGAAGGAGAAGAAGAAAAACATTGGAGTTGCTCTCAAATCCACAAAAGATGAGAGTGATTCGAATAACGATGACGATGACGAGGAAATGGCATTGTTTGCCAAACGGTTCATAAAAATGATGAGACCTTATCGAGGAAGAAAATTCAAATGAAATGAAGGCCTAAAAAATGAACCGAAAGAGAATGACCCAATCATTTGCTACGAATGCAAAAAGCCAGGGCATGTCAAATATGATTGCCCACAATTGAAGAAAAATGGTCAATCAAAGAATAAGCACAAGGCTCATGTGGCTACATGGAGCAATGAAGAAAGTTCCGATGAAGAGGAACAAGAAGTAGCTAACTTGTGCTTGATGGCATTTGGGGAAGATTCTAAGGTAACCTCTAACTCATCCGATTTTGATGATTTATCCTATGATGAGTTATTAGAGGAATATAATGGGTTGGCTTCGGATTATGAGAAATTATTTTTAAAATATAAAAATGATGTTTCAAAATTAAAAAATGAAAACAAACTCATATCCAAAACCAACAACGATCTTGAAAGTAAAATCAAAGATTTGCAAATCAAACTAGAAGAGTTTGAAAAGAAAAATTTCGATTTGCAAAATTTACTTTCAAAGACCAATGATGATCATCAAAAGAAAATTGATGATCTTAAAACTTCTTTTGATAAAGTTGG